AAGAAAGAAAGAAAGAAAGAATAAAAGTTGAAGGAAAGCTCCGACTCCTCAGATTTAGCTGCAATGGTGGAGATTAACCAAGCTATCTAGAAACTCATGATTCCCGCTGTTGATACCCTGTTTCATTCCATTGTAACCCTAAGCCCTGAATAATTTAACCTAGCTGTCTTCTCCTTCTTAGTCCTACTACCACTGCCCTGGTCCTCACACTGTCACCTACACAACCACAATAGCATGCCACTATCCGGATAAGGGTCATGGCCCTCAGAATGCATCGCTGTCACAGAAACCTGAAGGATATAGTTAGATGCAAGTCTTTTTGTGTTACTCTCCTATTTAAAATTTTTCAGTGGCTCCCATGGTTGAAAGGCATAAACCCAGACTCCTTTGTGTGACATACAAAGACTTTCGGAAGCCTTGTTCTGTCATTTCTTGCCACTCTCTGCCCAGCAATCTCCCCTCTACCAACATCAAGCAGGTGAGAGCCCCCTGCATACTCAGAGTTGTCTGTCTCCTCGGCTCAGAACACTATTAATATCACTTCTCCCAGCCCCTCATTCATTGTTCACCTGTAAGTCTCAGCTCAGGCACAGCTTCCCAGAAACCTTCTTGACTGTCCAAGGTCATGTTACATACCCCTCCTCTGAGCTTCCACAATCCTCCTTTGCCTGTCTTTACCATTGCTCTCACCACATTCTATTTTCACAGTTAACTCTCTTGCTTCCTTTTCTGTGGGAGTTTCTTGAAGGCAGGGAACAGATATTATTCATATCCAGGACTTTGGCACTTGTCGTGAGTTGATTTGTGGCCTCCCCAAATGTGACCTTATTTGAAAATAGGGTCACTGCAGATATAATTAGTTAAGATGAGGTCATACTGGAGCAGGGTGGGCCCATCCAATATGATTGACATCTTTAGCAAAAGGGGAAACTTGGACACAGACAACAGGTACAATGCTATATGAAGATGAAAGCAGAGACCAGAGCGGTTCTTCTAGAAGCCAAGGGACACTTAAGATTCCAGCCAACACAAAAGTTAGGAGAAGAGAGATGGAACAGATTCTTCCTCACAGTCCCAAGAGGAAACCAACCCTCTCAATGCCTTGATCTCAAACTCGTAGCCTCCAGAACTACGAGACAATACACTTCTGCTGTGTAAGTCACCACATTTGTGGTGCTTTGTTATAGCAACCCTGGGTAACCAACATAGCACTGGAACATACTACATTCCTGGAACATACTAGGGATTCAATAAGTCATTGACTAAGTGAATGATCTCCTCTGGTTGTTAATTATGCCCTCAGCAATGTTAAAAGATATTTTTAAATTGTCCTTTTCAGCCCTGACATTAAGGAGGGATAGAAATACAGTTAAAAGTAACATGAAGTTGACAAGCATTTCCTCCTTATAGCCTTTAGGGTTAGATGGTGAAAGGACAGGAGGCATCATCATCATCATCTTGGTCATCATCACTGGTGGTGAAGACCAGACGATCCACCTCCATGAAGGTGGTAGGTGGATTGTCCCAAAGAGGGACTTCATGACATTCCCTATATGAAAATAGACGAACAACAATATCCAGGGATCTGTCATTCTCTATCCCACTCTCAGATCGAAATGGTTTGAACCAGTGATTCTCCTTCAGACAGTTGGATAAATCTCTGTGGCTGCTCAGCAAACTGAATGTAGCCTTCATTTCAGCATCTCAGCCTGTCTGCACGTCAGGATTACTTAGGAAGCATTAAAGTACCTAAGCCCTACCTGGCATTAAATCAGGATTTCCATGGGTCAACCTAGTTTTTCTTTTTCCTTGTTCAGTATGTTTATCATTTATTATCTATTTAGTCTGGGCATGGTGATTCACACTTGTAATTCCACTTTGGGATACTAATGTGGGAGGATCGCTTAAAGACTGGATTTAAGACTGGCTTGGGCAACATGGCAAAACTCCTGTCTCTACAAATAAGAGAAATAAGTTGGACATGGGGGTAAGCACCTGTCATCCAAGCTACGTGGGAGGCTGAGACAGGAGGATTGCTGGAACCCAGGAGTTCCAGGTTGTAGTGAACTACAATCATGTCACTGCACTCCAGCCTGAGAACAGAGCAACACCCAAAATAATTATTTAACACAAGAATCATGGCACTCAACAATTGTAGATTGTGAATAATTTCCATAAAGCAAATTATGTAAAGGAGAGGAACATCAAAATAAATGAATCTCTTAAGGATGTCAGGATTCTCTGAATTCACAAGGAATAATAATTCTAAGACACTCACCTGTGGTTCTCACCTTGGGCCAGATACTCAATTTCCTTCAGTATCTGGCTTTTTCCACATCCTGATGATCCTTCATACATTAGGATTCGGCTGCAGTTAGACATCAAAAATTCCTTCATAATACACATGAAGTATTTGATCTCCTTATCACGTCCTATTGTTTTAAATTTTTCATAAAAGATCAAACTCAATCAATATAAAATAGTCTAGAGATATAAAAAAGCACATAGTGACACCATTTTTAACAATATCTTTGGAATTTTCACAATATTGTTCAAGGACTTTCTGGAAACCTTGTGTACTCTTAAAATTAAAAAAAAATTCTTCTAGAACTTTCTAGTTACAAAGCAGTTATATATATATATACATATAAATGTATATTTATATGAAACAGAGTCTTACTATGTTGCTCTTGGTAAGGTGCTGTGGTATCACAGCTCACAGCAACCTCAAATTCTTGGGCTTAAGCGATTCTCTTGCCTCAGCCTCTTGAGTAGCTGGGACTACAGGTGCCCACCACAATGCCTGATTATTTTTTAGTTGCAATTGTCATTGTTGTTTAGCAGGCCCGGGCTGGGCTCAAACACACCAGCCTTGGTGTATGTGGCCGGTGCCCCAACCACTAAGGTACAGGCACCGAGCCTGGTTTTATATTTTTATTTATTTATCACAAGCTGTGAAGGAAAGTGTTCTTACAATGCTCATTATGAAGTCCATTTAATTATTATATAGAAAACTGAGATTTGCTTAGGTTGTACAACCAGGAATTAAACCAAGGCCTGTAACCCAAAGTTTGTTTCCTTTTCCTCTTTATTTCTTTTCTTTTTGTCATACAACACACTAGAAGTAGTCTGTAAACTGTTACAATAGGGAAACAAATTGTCAAAGTTAGGGTTTATATATTCAACAACTATAGATAGAACTTTTTTTCTGATTCTGCAATGAAAGAAACTTTCCCTCTATAAATAAAAATTATGTTTATATCAGGGCTACTGGAAGCCTTAACCTTGATAAGAAAATTCAGTTGCCTTCAAAAATCATGTATAGGTTATTTCTATCATATCAGCAAACTAAATTTTTACTAAAAATACATCGTTGTTTCTTTGCTGATTATAAAACAAACATATGTTCATAGTAAAAAAATATGGGAAACTTGACAAAGGAGAATAATAAAATGAAAACTACCTTAGGTTATAGTTATTTTTGTGTGTATTTTTAAATATAATGTTATCCTGGATGAAATGTGAAACTCAGCTCATAGTCTTTGAAACCTAATTGAGAGGAAGAACTGTAATCTCAAAGCAGTAAACAATCTCTATAAAAAGAGTTGGAAAATCATTGAGGGCCAACTTTTCCTTTTTTGCTGTGTGGATGGCTGGAAGGCCTATTCTGTTATCCACTGATAGAACAAATACATATCCAGGTATTATGTCATGTCTTTGTTCAGAACTAGGACTGTTCACCCAAGTGTAGCTATTTTATAAAAAGCTTAGTGCTTTGCTTGGCCAAATAAGTTTCTAGGTGTGGTGTAGTGAGAATTACTCTTCGGATTCTATTGCTTCTTTTTGGCAAAATAGTCCCTTTCTAAACATGAATTTGGGTTCTTCTTCAGCCTGAGAAAGAACGTAGGAACTCAGAAGATGAAGCTCAAGAAGCAGAAGCTATTAGTAGAATTTCTTAGCTTTTGGGGCTCTATTCATAAAGAATATCTTCAGGTAAAATGTCATGGATTGGGCCGGGTGCAGTGGCTCACCCCTGTAATCCTAGCACTCTGGGAAGCCAAGGAAGGTGGGTTGCCTGAGTTTAGGAGTTTAGGTTAGATGGTCATCATCACTGGTGAAGACCAGATGATCTAGCAAGATCATCTTTTTTATTGAAGGTGTGACCAGTCTGAGAAAAAGTGAGACCTCATCTCTAAAAACAGCAGGTCATTGTGGCAGGCACCTGTACTCCCAGCTACTTAGGAGGCTGAGGCAAGACAATTGCTTGAGTCCAAGAGTCTGAGGTTGTTTGAGGTTTGAGTGACTCTATGGTACTCTACCAGAGGCGATAAAGTGAGGCTGTCTCAAAAAAACAAGAAGTTATAGATTATCTTTAGCTGGATTCTAAAATGAAGTTAAGTGTACTTGACTTGAAATACATGCACCTTGTTTCTATAAAATCAAGGCCCTACTATCTGGGGCTTTCATTTTTTGACCCTAAAAAGCCAGTATTGTTTGTTAGAGTTTTGTTGTCATCTATGTGGTAATTTCATTTATAGGCGCTTTTGCAAAAGAAGGGTAACCTCTAATGGTCTGTTTTTGTCTGTAGCTTTAAGGAAAGGGATGTGGGCCTGATTTGTACCTCAAACTAGTAGAATCGGGGCAAAAAGACAAATAGCTCAGACTGAGCAATGTATGCACATGGTACCAATGTGTTCTAGTATGACTGTCATGTGGGGTCTGCAGTCCTGTATAAAAGTCAGGGTTCCACTTACTCTCGGTTATTATCCTAATATGCATATCCTGGGATGGAAAGTAAGGCCCAAGCAGAGAGAGAGAGTGACTATTGCTTTTCTTCTCTAGCTTTAGGAGTTTAGGAATCTGGACTACAAGAGGTGACTTACTTGAAGACTCTGAAAACTACCTGAATGCAGTGAAAGTGGGGCATTTCTGCTGGCCCAAGTGTTTTCTTTTGTTTTTTTAATTACCAAGGGAAAGCATGATCGCAGTTCCCCACTACTACAAATTATGCAGTCGAGTTTCCCACATTTGGAAATCGCAGGGATCAGCACTTCCGAGTACAATGGAGAAGCCTAGCCCTGGGAAAACTACCTTTGTGATCATGGTATCTCCCCTGCCAGGTAAGTGTATCAAGTGTTTTTTGAAGTTCTGGAACTATTGCTTTCCTGTAAGCTCTGCTGACACCAGCATTCTGGGCTAACACTTCTCCAAAATGCAGCACAGAGCCTCCTCTGAACTGCCCTAACATAGTGATGACCAGTATTTAATTTATGATGAGATTTTCTAGTAATGTTCAGGTCTAATGGAAGAAAATTACAAGAGCAACTTCTCAAATTACAAATTCTGAAGGCAATTCAAATTGCCTTCAGAATCCACAGGCCAGTCTTCACAGGCTCTCTTCTCTCGTGGGGAATATCCCTGCTCCATTTTAGCTCTATTTCCCTGCCTAATCTTGAGTTAGCTTTCATTTGATCGGGTTCCTATCACCAAGAATCACAAAAACATCACTTCTAGATAGATTGCAGACTTAAATGAAAAAGGTAAAACAAGATTTCAGGGAAAAGAAGCTAAAAACATATCTTTATGACTTTGGGGTGAGGAAAGATTTCTTAAGCAGTATGAAAAGCACTAGCAATAAAATAAAAAAAAACTGATAAATTGGGCTACATTACAATTAAGAACTCTGTTCAAAGCAGGTGTGCTAGCTCATGCTTCTAATCCTAGCACTCTGAGAGGCTGAGGCTGATGAATTATTTGAGTTTATGAGTTCAAGACCAGCCTGATCAAAAGCAAGGCCCTGGCTCTACTAAAATTAGAAAAAGTAGCTAGGTATAGTGGCAGGCACCTGTAGTCCAAGCTACTTGGGAAGCTGAAGTCAGAGGATTGCTCAAGCTCAAGAGTTTGAGGTCTGATGCCACGACACTCTACAGGGGGCAACAGGGTGAGACACTGTCTCAAAAAAAAAAAAAAGAAGAAGAAGAAAGAAAAAAGAAAAAAAAACTCTGTTTATTAAATAAGGTATGAGTAAAAAGGCAAGCACAGAGTGGGAAAAGTGATACATAATGTAAACAAATGGCATTGGACCAATTTCCAAAATATGTAAATAATTCCAAAAGATACATAATAAAAATATAACCCACTTGAAAAATAGGTGAAAGATTGTACAGGTATTTTTTGGTGAAAAAATGTGTCCCATGGCCCATAAATATATAGAAAAGAGCTCAACTACATCAGGGTAATACAAAAGGAAACCATAGTAACGTATCACTATATACCCAAAGATAAAAGAATTATTAAAATCATAAAGACTGATAAAACAAGTTGCTGGCAAAGATGAAAAAAAACTGAAACTCTTACAACAGTGTTGGTCAGACTATACATACTCTTTTGAAAACCATTTGGCACAATTTATCAAAATTATAACCTTGTTCCCAAAACTTCACTCCTACATATGGACTCAACAGTCCACCAGGAGACTTGTGCAAAGAATATTTATGCCAATATTATCCATAAGAACCTAAAACTTTACAATGACTAAATGAACAAATTGTATATTTATTGCATATTGTATAAATTGTATATTTATTCATATTTATAAAATATTAAATACTACATAGTAATGACAAAGAATGAATTATAGTTACACCCAACAATATGGATGAATTTCATAACACACTATTGAGTAAAAGCAGGTATAAGGTGTCTATAATTTTATAATGTTTTATAAATTCTATATAAATTTTCAAAATGGGCATAAGTAACTTAGGGTATTAGAAGTCGCTGGGTAAAGGCAATGGGAAAGAGCATGTAAGAGTTTTCAAAGTATGGCTACTTTTCTATTTCTTGACCTGGATGATGATTAATTGCCATTTTGTGATAAGTCATTAAGCTGAATATCCATCATGGGTGCATGGGTGTATTTTGCCTGCATGTTTTCTCATAGTTCTATAAAGAAGCTGAAAATCAAGGCTTACTACCTACCCAGCAAAGGGTAACCCTCATTTCTGTTGCACATGAGGTACGCCATCCCAAACATGCTAAAGAAGAGAAAAAGAAAAAAAAAAAAACAGATGTGAAATTCAAAACAGAAATATCAAGAGTGAGAGTAACTAGTTCTTAGTGCCCAGAAAGCCTTCTTTCCAATCTCTAAGAAGAGTCTATCCCCCGACTCAGGAGCTGTCAACGCCAGAGGAGAATGGAGGTTTGCCTTGGTAATACAGCATCCAAGCAACTTACATAGCAGCTGTTACCATGACACCTGACATCTTGTTCAATAATGCTAGCTAAGCCTGCATTGGTAGGAAAGCCCCTTTCTGGGGAGACCAGACCCCTAATAGATGACCCACACGACTTGTATGTGGTGCAGGTCTCACATCTGGGAGGTTCCACCAATGGCTCAGACAATTTAGCATAGCTAAATAGCATAGCATAGCTCACCTCTGTTGAGCACATGCTATGTATCTGGCACAGTTCCAAGTGCTTTCTATGTATCATTTCCTTTAATCCTGACCGAAACATTACCAAGAACTACTACTATTGTGTCCATTTGCAAATGACAAAATTGAGGTACAGAATGTTTAACTTGTTGGAGATCCTACAGCTAGTGTTGCCCCCCAGGATAGTAGCTAAGTCTGGGGTGGGGGGGGGTAGGTGGTGTTGGGTGCAGTTTATATGCTAACCCACTACATAAGATACATGTTTTCTCTCTTCTCTTCTTTTCTTTTGTTTTCCTTCTTTCTTTTTCTTTTTTCCCCTGAGACAGAGTCTCATTCTATCACCCAGGCTAGAGTATAGTGGCATGAGCTCCCTGTAGCCTTGAACTTCTGAACTCAAGAAATTCTCCTGCCTTAGCCTCCCCAATAGCTAAGGCTAGTGGTGTGAGCTAAGATACCCAGCTAATTTTTTTGTTTTAATCTTTGGTATAGACACAGGCTTACTATGTTTCCCAGGCTGGTCTTAAACTTTTAGCTTTAAGCCACCCTCCTACCTCAGCCTCCCAAAGTGCTGTGATTACAGGCATAAGCCATAAGCCCAGTCAATGCTATCTCTTAAAGGAGCCTTTTAGTCAGAATGAATTCTTTCCTTCTCTGTACTATCATGCTACTTTGTTATGCCTCGCTTACAGCATATATCAAAGTCTTCCATGTAGCACAGAGCTAATTTTGTAAGACCAAGGAAGAGGCTTGAAAAATGCTTGTGCACTGGGCCTGCTCTCTCTAGCTCCTGTGATATGGCTATAACAACATGCCTGATGGAGGATAAGATGCACAGAGACAAATTGCCCTACTTAGGTCAGCCACATTGCCCCAGTTATCTCAGATAAGGCAATCCTGGCTTGGCCAACATTCTGCTAAACTGCAGGCATGGTAATAAAACCAGGCAAGATCAGTAAGATCTGGCCAAGATCAATAGAACCCCAATGTGTTTGTGATATAAACAAATGTTTATTGTGCAAACCACTGAGGTTTTATGGTTGCCTGTAACACCACATTACCGCGACAATTTAAATCTTGGCTCCATTGCTTACAAGAGCTATGAGCAACCACAGAGAAGCCATTTAACATCTCTGAGCCTCTTTTTTTTAAATTTATAAAATGGAGGGCAGTGCCTGTGGCTCAGTGAGTAGAGCGCCAGCCCCATATACCGAGGGTGGCGGGTTTGAACCCGGCCCCTGGCCAAACTGCAATAAAAAAATAGCCAGGTGTTGTGGCGGGTGCCTGTAGTCCCAGCTACTTGGGAGGCTGAGGCAAGAGATTTGCCTAAGCCCAAGAGCTGGAGATTGCTGTGAGCTGTGATGCTAGAGAACTCAACCGAGGGCGACAATGTGAGACTCTGTCTCTTAAAAAAAATAAAAAATTATAAAATGGAGATAACAATAGTTTCTACCTCGAATGGTAGATATTAAGACTAAATTGTATATTTTAGGGTAAAGTGTCTAGCATTTAATAAATGCTCCACTAAAACTTATTATGCATTTATTCAAACAATACTTCACTGCTGGTCTAGGTATGCCAAGCACAGGGCTAAGCGTCAAGAATATAAATGTGAATACGAAGACAGCTGGAACTAACTATAGCCCTGATTCTGTTATGTGATCCTTAGAGACCTAGATTCTACCTTGCTAATATCAAAAGTAATAACTTTCTGCTTTCCATGCTATTCATTTATTCATACATACATTTTACATCATTACTGAGGACCTATTGAATGTCAAGCACTGGGGATATACGACATTAGACAATTAAGTTTGTGAACTCATCCCAGAAAAAGTGCTACATACCTCACTGCTGAATTTCACTATGGTCACCTTCGAAGTAGTCCCCTTGGGAAGCTATGCACTGACACCAGTGCCTGGTCCACACTTCAAAGCAACTTTGGAACTCTTTTTCTGGAATAGCCATCAGAACTGTTGTTGTATGACAACTAAGTTCACAAACTCATCCTATAAAAAGAGCTTTAAAGACACTGGCATCAGTGGACAGCTTCCCAAGGGGACTACTTCGAAGGTGACCATAGTGAAATTCAGCAATGAGGTATGCCTCACATTTTCTAGGATGAGTTCACAAACTTAATTTTCTAACTTTCGTAAGAATGAACAAGAAATGGTTAGTATCGTCAAAGAGCTCACAGAGTAATAACTGGAAAGCACACAAGTCAATGACTGTGACATGCCATGATGCCTGCCCTAACAGAGGCATGCGCTATAGGGTCACCCGGAAGAGGAAGATCTGCCCTGCCCATTAGGGATGGGAGGGTTTCCATGGATACCGTCACAGAGGAATAGATCCTGGAGGTGGGTTTCAAAATTGACTGTGGTTTTCACAGTGGACCAGGGACAGAGTGGGTGCTGCTGAGGACAAGTTACTTAACCCAGAAGATGGGGCATAGGAGGTGAGGAAGTTGGAAAGGCAGGTGTTTACCAGGTGTGTCAGAGCAAAGGTTTTCATTCAAACCCTATCATGAAAATGACTGGGAGCCACAGAAGAATTTTGAGCTTCAAAGTGACATCCACACATCTAAGTGGGCTTTGGGGGAATATATTTCACTAAACACCCAGAGGAAAAATACTATCTTATACTTTGGGGGAGGGGGCGGTTATTAGGCCCCAGCTGGATTCAAAGCAACCAG